TTAGTTCTATGAGTTTTTATTTTTCTTATCTATTTCTTGGTTCTTTTAATTTATTCTGTTTCAAAATTTTTTTTTGTCTTTTTTTTCCATTTTTATCAGTACCAGGGATCGAACTAACGACTGCCTGCTTGCAAGGCAGGTGCTTATGCCGCTGAGCTAAATCTCCAGCCCCTGTTTCAAAAATTTAAAGGTTGTCTTTTTCAGCTAATTTAGAAATACTAGGCTATTGTTTTCATCAGTATTATGCCTTCATTTTTCTGGTTCATTTTTCTATGGAGGTTATTCTTGGTTTCACTTTGGAGGGGATTGAGACAGTGTTTTGCCAGGTAGGCTAGAATGGAACTCACTATGTGTGTAGTCCAAGCTGACCTCACACTTGTGGCAATCCTCCTGGCTCAGCCTCCTAGGTGCTAAGATTACCAGTGTGCACGACCATGCCTGACCTAGTCCTTGTTAACAAAAGGTTTAAAACCCTCAACAGCAAAATTTTCTTGTTAGACAGTTTGGCCCAATACATATAAAGCAGTTACAAGACACTGCACTAACATTGATCCAAAAAGAGTCAAAAAGGACCTTCTGTGAGACCTAATAAATGGCCTTGACAATATGCAATTTTAAAGACAGAACTTTGTGCACAATGCAGGCATCCTTGAAGATTTAACTAGGAATAAGATGCCCCACAGAATGCATTTCTGAAATATGTACATTTTCTAACTCACAACCTTCACAGTATTCCAAGCAATACAAAGTAACACTTCCAAACTAATTCTATGAGGCCAGTATTATCTTAACACCAAAACCTGATAGACTCTACAACAAAAAACTACATACAAATATCCTTTCAAAATTTTTTTTGTCTTTTTTTTTCCATTTTTATCAGTACCAGGGATCGAACTAACGACTGCCTGCTTGCAAGGCAGGTGCTTATGCCGCTGAGCTAAATCTCCAGCCCCTGTTTCAAAAATTCATATAACCTCAACAAAATTCTCGCAAATTAAATCCAATATTTAAAACACTCTATTCCATAATCAAGTTGGTTACATTCCAAAGAAAGATGATTCAACATGCATAAATCAATAAATATTAATACATCACATAGAAAGAAAGGCTAAAATAATATCCTTATCTCAAAAGTTGCAGAAAAAGACTCATGGCTTAGATCTAAGATGTCCCCCAAAAGTCTGATATTCAGAGGTGGGGTTTTGGGAAGGTGACTGAATCATGGGAGTGTTATATGCATTAATGGATTAATCCACTGGCTAATTTATAGCCAAATATGCTCTTAAGAGGTGGGGTTTGTTTGAAAGAGGTCACTGAGAAAGTGCCTTTGTAGGACATAGTATCGTTTTTATTCTCCCTTGCTCCTCTACTTGGATGTCATGAACTAAGCAGTTTTCTTCCACTAGGCACTCTTGCCATATAATTTATGCCTTGTTGACAGCCAGCCAGGGGATGAACTCTCTGAAACCATGAGCCAAGTGTATTCCTTTATTGTATGTTACAGATTTTTTTCCCATTGATAGGAAAATTGAACATAGAAAGTCTTTCACAAAATTCCATGTTCCTTCATGATAAAAGCTCAATGAAGCTAGGTATACAAAGATCGTACCTGCTTATAATATGGGCCATATATAACAATCCTGCAGGCAACATAATGCTTACTGGGCAAAAGCTGAAAGTATTTCTTTTAAAGTTAAGGATAAGACATGAGTATTCACTCTCACCCAATAATCTTCATAGAACTTCAAAGTGTAGCCAGAGCCAACTAGGCAAGGGGAAAAAAACACAAGGGACTTAAATAGAGCTAAATATACTTAAGAAGTCAAGTTATTCTTAAGGATTATGTCTTGCTCTGTGAGAAGATTTTTGCATTAGACTAACATATTATCTGTTCTGTATACACCAGTAATGAAACAACTGAAAAAAGAAATCAGATAAATAATTCCATTCACAGTACTTTCAAAAAATAAAAGCACTTCAAAAATAAGTGTAAATGAAGAGGTGAAAAACTTCTACTGTGAAATTTACAGTACAGCTAAGGAAGAAACTGAAGAAGATACTAAAAGATGGAAAGCCCTCCAAACTGATGGATCAGCATCATTAACATTTTTCAGGTGGTCATGTTATCAAAGTTTTCTACAGATTAATAAAATTACCACTAAAATATCAGTAACATTCTTTGAGAACTAGAAAAATAATTCTAAAATTACTGTGCAAACACTAAAGACTTATGATAGTCATAATCCTGAGCAAAAAGAGCAATGCTGTAAGCATGAAAATATCTGATTTCAAAATAAACTGCAAATCTACAGTAACACAAATAACATGGTACTGGAATAAAAACAAACAAGTGGACCAATGCAACAGAATAGATGACAACAGAACAGATCCATGAAAGCATAGCCATCTGGTTTTGCACAACGTGGCCAAAACATACAGTTCAAAATAAAAAACTTCTCCATGATGAATGTCTTCATTGTGTATTGCAAACATGTTCTAATAAGGTTAAATAAATTGTACTGAAAAAACTGGGTATCTATGTAAAAAAAAAGGTCAAAATTAGATTTGAATCTTTCATCTTATGAAAAAATCAATTGAAAGTACATATTAAAGACTTAAGTACAAGGCATGAGAATTTGAAACTACTGAAAGAAAATATAGCACAAAATACTTCAAGGTGTAGGCACAACTAATGACTTCATGAATAGGATTCCGGTAGTGCAGGAAATAATACCAATTTCATAAAAGGAATTACAGCAAATTAAAAACTTTTCACACAGCAAACACGTAATAGTGAAAGATAAGACAATAGAATGATAGGATTAATACTCAGAATATATAAATAAGCAAAAAAATATCTTTAAACAAGTAGCTGAAACAATGCGTGGGGAAATAGACCGAGCAAGCATTTCTGAAAATGAATAGTCCAATAAATATGAAAAAGTTCAAGATATATACCATTAAGGAACTGTGCATGGAAACTATGTTGAGACTTTATCTCACCCTGCTCAAAATGGCTATCATCAAAAATACAAAAATAAAACAACACAAAAAACTGTGAGGATGTAAGGAGAAACCTTTCTACCCCACTATTAGAAATGTAAATTAATACAGCCACTATGAAAATCAGTTTACCTGTTCTCCAATATGTAAATATAGAGCTATGATGGGATCCAGATATATCCTTCCTTGAAAAGAATTACAGTGTATAACAGAGATATCTGTATATGCATGTTTATTGCAGTGAAATTTGTAACAGCTTAGCTATATGCGTCCACTGATGATTCAGCTATAAGTAATGAAATCATGTAACCTGCAAGAAAATGGATGGAGCTAGAGATGATATTAAGTGAATTAAGCCCAACTGAGACAAATAATCACATTTTTCTCATATGTAGAACTTTAAAAAAATGAAAAGAAAGTAGAAGAGAAACTATTAGAAATGAGGAGGTTGTAAAAGAGATTGTGGGATAGCAGAGCAAGGAGGAAATGGTAGGGTAGAACAAACCAAAATGTGCTACATTTATCTATGAATATGCCAGAATGATATCCACTATAACATATAAGTAGTATGTACTAATAAAAATGGAGGGCTCATACTATAGCATAAACTAATCCTCTTCTGGATTTTTGGGACAGAGTCTTAGTATATATTTGAGGCTGGTCTTGAACTTTCTACGTGGCCCAAAAGGAACTTACATATCCAGAGTGCTGGAGATAACAAGTGTGCACCAACAAATTCAGCTAAAATAATATTACAATAGTCTCATGAAACAACTTGATTTGAGTAGTATCTCACTCTCTTTGGTAGCATTAATTCTATTACATATGAATACAACCAAAGTTTTTAGCACATATGTACTATTTTATTCAACTCTCAAAAAAACCTACCTATTTAATGGCTTGACTAAAAGGTATATAATCATTGAAATTTACTTATTTTGATAAGGTTATCAGGCCAAGAAATTATAACCAATATTTCCTATTCCTGTGTGACTTCACATGGGATTCTGCTGGCATTCTTACAAGATCACAAAGCAACTTGATGGTACAACTGGGACCAGAATACTCCAATTTGTATTCTCAGGCTACGGCATTTTGTGCTATACCATGGTGGCATTAAAATGCTTATTGGAGTGGTGATCCCAAGAAGGGAAAACTAGAGTAAAAATATTTAATAAAAAGTTAAATTTAAAGCTAATAAACTTTTATGGCCCTCTACCACTGAATTTTTGTCCTTCTTTAGTTTCAAGTGTTTAGTTGATCATATTTTTCTAACCTGACACTGAGCTCAAGATAGTGTACCAGCTTCTACTATATGAGATGAAGAAGAAATGAAATTATTGAAGCTTTACAGTGTGATCTCCCAACAAATATTAGGTACAAAATGTTTCATTGTTGCCTTTCCCACTCTTAGAACAATCATTTTGGAAGTAAAATGATCACTTACAAAAAGTAACTTTAAAAATTGAAACACCTTTAATATAAACATTTTCAGAATATACAATAATTTTTATCAGCACTTTTTGACAATTTTTAGACTGTATCATCTAAGCTTACAGACTAATTTTCCACATCAGAACTACAAAATAAAAACAGTACAAATCATGTTTAACAAAAAATACTATTTGAAATTATTTCATACATTTTCCTTTGGGAAGAATCAAGAAACAGAAATAACACATAGCAATTTAAAAAATACCACCAATGCTAAGACAAACATCCAAGGAAATCTATTCTGTAATGCCTGGTCTCCCTTCGGCCTGACAAGGCTTATCTACCTTTCAAGATCAAAGATCAGGGGGTTGAGGATAGTATGGCTCTAGAATGCAACACTAAGTAATTCTAATTTAAAATAAATAAATAATTTGTTATCAAAGCATTCTAATGAACAAAGTAGAGACAACCCTATTTGCATTTATGGAAATTACCTTCTTTGTAAGAAATATTTAGTACTTTTTCTTTTTTTAGAAAATGAAGAAAAGTTATTTGAGGAAAAGGAATACTGAATCCTTTTACTTATCTTTTTTCTAGAAATTAATTGTCCATATAGAAACATTCAAATAGCATAAATTTAATAAAACTTCAAATAGCATGAATTTAATAAAACCAAACTTTCCTATTTCTTAAACTGTAAGTGAACAAAACTGAAACGTTTAAAAACTAGGGGTAGATTCATGCCAAAACACTGGCTCTTGTTTTTTAATAATTTCATTTTCTCTTAAATTTTTCATATATTCTTGTATCTCAGAGGCTAAGTTTAGGATATTTTTTGTTTCTTCTCTCAATAAAATTTTGTATTTTTCAGGAAAAAGAAAGGAGGTATGGAGGGAAGAAGGGGACTAATTTACTTCCCTATAATGTATCTATTTTCTTTTTCCTATATGCAATTGCTTTTGTCAAAATTCATTTTCTTAATGGATTTCTTCAATTTATCTTTGGGCAAACAGCACTAAAAATTCCAAATAGTACGCTTTACCCAAATACAGACTCTTTTGTCTTTTCTTAAATAAGTTTTCCTTACGTTAATTTTCAAAAACTAGATTTAGGCTTTTTGTTTTCTCTTTCAATTAAAATTTTACACATAAACACAAACACAGTTTTCTCAGTCTAACACTACCATTCCTTTTTTAATTGAATGACCCTGTTATCTAAATTCGTGCTGCTTTCTTTGAATAATTCTTGGGTAAACTAAAAGTTCAAAATCCAAGAATTGACTCATCCCAAAGAATTTCCTCTACAGTTCGTTCTTCAACAGGTTTCTTTTTCTCTTTCCTGTGCTTACGTTCTTTTTCAGAAGTTACATCATGGCTTTTTTTCTTTTTTCGATGCTTAAGCTTTCTTGAACTGACACTGACTTTATCTTCCTTCCTTTTACTTTGGTGGACGGTCTTGTCTTTTTCTAACTCTGTAGCCTCATAACTCTTTTTGTTTTTATGCTTGGACTTCTCCTTCTGTGGTCTCTCTTTGCCTTTCTTCGCGTGTCGGTGTCTCTTCTGATGTCTCTGTTTACAACTTGCTTGAGGGTCACTAGCATGGTTTCCTGAAGAGATGTGCTTGTCAACTTCACATTCTGTACTGTATGTGTGAGAGTTGTTTTCCTGATGACTAAAGCTCAGAGGTACTTCTTTATCTGGAAAATTGCCTCTGGTGAGTTGACAGCTCACTGAATTGAATGTCTGTTTGCTGTCATGATCTGGTAAACAATGAGGCAACTGGTTTTCTCCTTTTTGTGAACTACTGTTCGGTTCTGTGTAGGTCTGGAAGGTTTCAGCTGGGAGTCTTTGCTCAAACATTTTATGTCTGGGTCTACTGTCAGACATTTCTCCGTACCTATGAGTTATCGCAGAGCTATTGACTATCTTTCTGAAACAGGGCTTTGGCTCTAATCTTGTGTATTTCTGCACATTAATGTAATCATCTAGCTCATCTTGGAAGGAGTTGTATGTATTTGAATGAGCTGGTAACCAATGAGGTAAGGGACCCTCCTTTAGTGAACTATAGTACAGTTGGGGATGCCTATGTAAAGTCTCAGATGGAAAGTTTTGCTCGCATATTTTTTGACTGTATCCAGAATACAACATTTTTCTGTATCCATGGTCCACTGAGTTTTCTTTCATCCTTCTAAAACAAGTCTGTGGATCTAGTCCTCTAGCTTTTTGCACTTTGATATAGTTTTCAAGTTCATCTTGGAAAGAGTCATATGTCCTCTCTGAATGAGGTGGTAAGCAATGAGGTAACTGGTTTTCTACTGCTTGTGAATTATTGTATAGTCCTTGGTATGACTGGCAAGTATCAAATGGGAGTCTATGTTCAAATATTTTATGTCTGAATCTGGAATCAACCACTCCCCTATGAGCTTCTGAAGTGTTTTCTTCCATTTTTCTGGAATAAATCTTGGACTCTAGGTCTCTGTATTTCTGTACTTTGATGTAATTTGCATATTCATCTTGGTAATTACCTTGCATCTTTGAATACTTTACTAGGTTGATAGCAATAGATTCACTGCAAAGAAGACAGTACAAAGTTTTGTTACTAGAGTATTTTATCCTTAATATTTTCTTTGCTTCCAAAATACTACTCTAAAAAATCAAAATCAATGAAAGTCAAAATAAATTCTTAAAACCTATCTCATTATAAAATGCATAAAGAATGACTTTTCTAGATTCTCAATTCTGTTCCACTGATTAACATGTCTGAATACATGAAGAACTAAAAAATAATCTGATCTCTAAAAATAAAAGACAAAAAACAGGCAATTTAAATTAATAGACACTTCTCAAGAGAAGTACATATGGTCAATAAATAGATAAAAACATGTTCATCTCTGGTCATGAGAGAATCACAAATCAGTACAACACGGAGATTTCATCGTGCCCTGCTAAAAATGACCTATCATCAATAACTCAAAACAACAAATTTTTCCAAGATTGTGGTGGAAAAGGAAAAGTTTCTACATTGCTGGTGAGGAAGTACACTGGTACCAACAGTACAGAAATCAGTATGGAGAGTTCTCAAATATGCAAAAATAGGATTTCCATTTGACTCAGCTATACCTTTTCTAGGTATCTTCCCAAAAGAGATAAAGACATCATATTCCAGTGATACATGTGTACCCATGTTTATAGTAACAAAACTCATAATAGCTAAATTTGGATGTGCCCATCTACAGATTAGTGAGTAAAGAAAATATGGCACATAGACACAATGGAATACAACTCAGCCATAAAAAAGAATGAATCTGTTACTTGTCAGAAAATGGATGAATTTTATTACCGTATTGCTAAACAAAATAAACCAGACACATACAGTTAAATAGTGCATGGTTGCTCTCAAATGAGCAACTCAAACTGTAAGTAAATACTTTAGAGATAGACATAGAGACAGATGACAAGAAATAGGAGATATGCTTTGAGGAGATGGGAAAGGGATCTAAGGAGGGGTGAGATGAGACAGGAGCATTGGAGGGGGAGTAAAATGTATCAAGATGTGACATGCATATGTACCAATTACCCACAATAAATGTATTCAATCTGTATTGCACATATATATTTATAAAAAATCTCATCCAAAACCACCAAGATAGATATAATCATTATGTCCTGTAAACATGTACAAAAATGATCTGATAAAAAAAGACTTTATGCTTAAAAGATGTCACAGCAATTGTCAGATATGTACCAGGTACCATACAATTTTATGCAAACAAGTTTACAGGACCAGAATAAAAGGAAAGATGGCCATAAAAGTGCAAATATATATGATCCTATTACAGTACTAAAAGTGCTAAAGAATGTTGGGGCTATGTGAACAAGGATAATTAATATTTAATGTCCTAAAAGATGGTCTGATCTAAATATCATGATGTTTTCAAAGTTTTGGTTAGTCTATTTCTTACATAGATCTACACATGTGAAAGATATTTATTATGGAGCCTGAGTTTCTTATTTTTTAAATTTAAAGGCAAGTTAATCTGATGAGTATTATGACTTACCTTTTCTGTATTCAGAGTCAACATACTTTCTCAATAATAAACAAAAATAGATACTCTAATTTTAAAAATGATAAGTCAAATATACAACAGCTAAATGACTTTGCCCTACTATGTGATCCAGGCACTCTTCAACTGTCCATTCAATTTTCCTTTCCTTAAAACAGAATTGATCAAACATTCACTGAGCTCGTATGATGGGCCAGGCCAGGCACTTAATACATATTATTCTGTTTCCTTATAACAATATTATTTCAGGGATGTCTAAGGTTACACTTGATCAAAATATGGAACTTGTATTCCAATTTATGGTCTAATGTACAGACCTTGGATTTTTTTAAAATATTCTTTTTAATTGTATATGTTTGAAGCACAGAGTGTTTACATTCACTTTAGGGCTTTGTTTTTAACCACTATTACCTCATTGACAGAATGATGACTGGATTACTGAAATGTTATAACTAAGCTGACCTTCTAGAGATGTTTTAAATTTGTATGGTCAGTTTGAGAATGACCCTTCAGCTATGACCAAAGAAGGGCTATGCTGTCTGGCTAAGATGGCTACGAATTAGCTAGCTCTGCAGCATATTACTGTAACTAGAGAATTCTCTTGGACACACTGGTGTATAATATGTTACAAAACACATCAACAATATTCATGTTTAATCCATAGGAACTGAATATCTGCAATGTTTGCAAAGTATATAAAATGGGACTAGACTAGAAACTCTAATATTTGGTATCGTGAGAACATTTGGCAAATTAAAAAAAAACACTTACTTAAGTTGATGCTGACTTCCTTTCATGTGCATCCAGAACATGTCTAAAGATGTGAATGTGATTCTACAAGTGTAGCAAATGTAGGTTCTCCTATTAAATGCTGCAAAAACAGAGAGTTCAAGTTAAGATATTCAGCGTGGATGTACTGGAAATCACATATTTGATCTGGACTACAAGTTACTGAACATGACTTTTTCCAATTTTCCAAGATTGGGTCCAGACAGGTCGAATGATGTGATGAAAATCAGAGAGGCATTTAGTAATAAAGTTAGCTTCTTAAGAGTGTCCATATCTTTTAATGTAATGACCAAAATTCTTTATACCACACTGCTCCCCTAGCCATGACATTTTCGCTAAGAATCTGCTATCTGCTTGCTAATGATTGCTAGATGGAAGTGCAGCAGGCACTTCAAATTTGGCAGTGCCTAGCTAATCTTTGACTCACTCCCTCCATATTTTTGTTTGTCTTTAAATATTTCTCCATCCAATCAAAATCTAAAATGTTTCCAAAGATTAAACACAAATGAAAGCAAATTTTTACTCTCCTACCTGAAATCAGTGTAGTGCATTAGTCACAAAAATTAATTTCCAGATTTTAAAAAGGAGAAAGGTCCAGTGAGTCTCACTAAGAAGATGAAACCTGAAAGCAAAATTCTAAAACAAATTACCACTTGTTTATCAATTACTGGTGGTAACTGCTAGTTACCACATTGAAAAATCAAGAACTACAAAGTAAGAATTTTATAATATCTACCTCACTATTCTCCTTATTAGAATTAGAAGCAGGGGTAATCAATTTTTTATTTTCTTAACCTCGTTGTGTTTCCACTTTCTCTTTTGTCAGAAGAAGCCAATTAATAAGCCATATATAAAAGCAATTTCATCCTAAAGAGGAGGCAAGAAAATGGTACTGTAGACATTTGGAGGACAACTAAGGTCATCTTTTAAATTGAACAGCAGCCTAATCATTTAAAGGAAGCTAAATTAATCATTATTAAGTGTACTGATCTTATCTCAGTAAAGCTTATTCATGGAAACAAGAGACTATTGTCAAGGGGAAAGATGATGAATTTGAAGGACTTTAGACTCTGTTTGGGACATATATTGTTGTGGGACCAGATGAGCTCAGCAGAAACATCAAAATTTGAATGAATGACTCCTCAAAACTAACCTTTCTCCCTGTGTGTCAATTTCATGCACACCAAGTCACTGAATATAATTTTTCCTACATACTTTTATGCCAAGGAAAGTATACTCTGAATGATAGACATCAAGAAAAAGTGGGAAGTGGAAACATATATCTCCTCATAACATAGATGATACAATTGAATGATATTTACTTATTACTGATAAAAATCACTTGGGACTTTTATTATAAAAATACAGATTCCCAGGACATTCCCCTAGAGAACATGACTCACTAGTTCTTGGGTAGGGAGAGTAAGCTAAACTTTTCATTTACTTTTTGTCACTTTGTACAACCTCATTTCTCACCTTTCAAAAAACAATGGGCACCTTTATGGCACCAAGCATCATGATGGATCCTAGAAATGCAAGATTTATTAAGCAGCTAAGTTCCCTAAAACTGAAATATGAAAAAGAGAAACAGGAGCGAAGGTTTCAGTCTCATTTGGTAAAAGTATGAGAGATATACTTAAGAGGTATGAGAGCGCAATGATACAGAAGCACTTAGTATAGGTAAAGATGGCTAAAGAAGGCTACTCCAAGAGATCATGCAAAGATGACAGATAATTTGATGAAAAGAGTCAAGAAGAGCCTAATAAATAGCATGAAAAAAAAGCACAGGTGTGTGTATAGAAATTTTTTTTTACTTGAAATTGTTTTAAAGGAAAATATAAGGGGACAGATGGGACAGAAAAAAGGGGTCAAATGAAAGAAAGACTTAATATGTTAAGAAACCTAGACCATTTTCCTGTGTATTAGAATACCTTAAAGTTGTTTGAGTACTAAGTAACTCTTGGCCGACTGTGTTTTAGAAGGATGTTGCCTTTCACTAAAAAAAGAACATGATTTTAAGAGAAGCAAATCTGGAAGTAAGTCCTCAATATGAAGGGTCTATATAATAGACTAGGCAAAATTTAGTAAGAGAATGGAATAGACAGGTCTTAGGTATTGAGAGGATCAGGGGAACTGGTGAAATATTTATCAGCAAAACTGGCAAAAATCAGTGACTGACTGAAAATGAGAGGAGAGGAAATAATCTAGAGGCATCTGAAATAATTCCCAGACTCCTAGTTTGTTAAGCAAATGGATAAAGATCCAGTTAACTGGACTTGGATCTTCAGAAGAAAGTCTTGTTTCACGGAGTGGGGGAGTTAAGCAATGTAAGCACAAGTTTGAACACACAAAGTCTGAGATAACTGTGAGAAACCATGTAAAGGTATCAAATAGGAAGTAACACACAGGAGTTTGAAAGGCAGAAGACAGGCCACAGAGGTTTTAGAGGTGTCAGAACATGAAGGTAGATAAATAATCAGTATGCAAGAAATCTTCTGTGGATAATGTGTGCATGAGCAGAGAAATTGCAATGCAACGACAAAACCTTAGAGAGTACCACTCTTTAAGTTGGTAGAAAAGGAGGAACCTATGAAAAGTCGCAAAGTAAAGGCCAGAACTACCGATGAACCAGAGAGAGTGATATCAAAGAGGATAAATAAAGGAATTAATTAGATTTAGAAATTTGGAGGTCATTATGACTCAGGAGGGATAATTTCAGTGGTGTGATAAGAGTGGTGATGTAAGGGAAAGTGCAACAACAAATGGCACTGAGTTGTGGATTGAGTTAAGTGAAGAGAAGACAGTAAGAGTAAAATGCATCTAAGTGTATATAATTTTCCATAGCATCACATAGTAGCCTGTATGTAGGAGTAGAAAAGATGTAGAATAAAATGGATTCATGGTTGAAAATGTTCTAATTGGGCATAACAAAATAACAATGGTGTATAAGTAAAGCTTTCAAAAAGGGTCTTTCACATTAAGATGTGAGGTGATGGTAGTGGAAATGTAATGAAAATGTACAGAAAGAGATATTTCTAAGGAGATCTGATAATACTTGTTAATGGACAGTATTCATGTAATTATATATTCACTGATGCTCTCAAAGATTGAAGTGAGGTAATTAATAAATAGCAGTAAAATAAACCTTGGAAAATTCAAGTTGGTTTAATAGAAGATTATTTATTCACTGATGGATATGTTGAGTTAAACGTGAAGGAAAAGCATCTATGTGTAGTAATGTGATGAAACAGCAAGACAACCAAACAACTGGAATAAATTAAATACCTAAACATTTTAGTTCTATATTATTATGGTGGCTATTCCTGTGCTACTGAGATATGGGTTGCTTAGGGAATGAAAGAAAGCACTGAAAATAATGAAGAAAAGAGAATGAGATTAGGTATGTAGAAGAAATACAAACAATAGGATGGAGAAAAAGAGAAAGGAGAAAATGGGTAAAGATTGAAATAGTTAAGGCGTCATATATTAAATTGTTTTTGTCTTAACATTTTCTTACATGTAAAATGGGCTTCTGTTCTCAGCATTCTTTAAAATTCTCAAAAATTTCCATTTTTTTGTAATGTTCAAATGTTTACTTCTCTCGAGGCAGTAACTAAGATTGGGAAAAACTGTTTGTTGAGCCCTAGCTTGAAAGGCTAGTATAAAATGACTTCAATGATTGGCTTAAATTATACTGATTATCCCCCTGTCCCAACACCAATAATCTCATAAAATTCTTTTTCCTTCATTCCAATAACACTGATTTGTAACATGCTAAAATAACCTTCCTTTAGTAATGCCAAGAATGCACTTATGTTAGCTAACTCAGTTCAACTTTGCCAAATGCCACTAAAACTGAATACCATTTATTTCATACTGTCAGCTTAGCATTAGGGTAATCCCCTACTAACAAATAGAATTTTGACATTTACCCAAACATCTCCTACATCTCCTATTTTTAGAATCCCTACTACATATATTACTTTTTCTTTCTTTCTTTCTTTTTTTTTTTTTTTTATCGGTACCGGGGATCGAACTCACGACCACCTGCTTGCAAGGCAGGTGCTTATGCCGCTGAGCTAAATCCCCAGCCCTTACATATATTTCTAATGTGCCTAAATCAACATTCTCTCAGATTTTAGATAAAACCATATATTGAAATTTTGGGGGATTTGTGAATCATATTAAGTAGGAAACTGAAATAATACATACACAAGGTAGTTCACTGATTTGCGTATTAAACTACTCTACTGAGGTCGGTCTACTTATTTTCCACTTTTATTTCTGATACATGAGTTAGGTAATGCCCTTTCTCTCAAAGATATTACACTGTAATGAAAAGAAAAAGCACAAGGAGAGATCTTTAGCTATGATGGTTAAAGAAGCATGGAAGATTAGCCTTGAAGGAAGTTAACAGCAGCAGTCTCCTAAAGAATGAGTAAGAGTTAGCCATAAGTGGTTTGTGAAGGCTATTCCAGGCAATGTAAGAGTATGAGCAAGGACGTACATACAAGAAATAAGGTAAAGATTTGAAAAAAAAACCACATGCAATTTACACATACTGACCCACACAAATCATGTATAGAAAGTAGTAGGGGATAAGCCTGGAAAAGGCAGGCAGGAATACGAGCTCTGGAGCTTAGATTTTATCCACAGAAGATGAAGGAGCAATGATGGTTTTGAAGAAAGAGAATCACATAGAAATATTTGTATTTTAAGTGAAATACTCTAATGGTTAAATTGGGGTATATTTGGAAAGATAAAACTAGAGGCACGGAGAGAATTTAGCAGGTTGTAGCAGTATATGAGGGTAATGTTTCTCTTTGTTTTTTGAGTACATATCACAATGAGATTTTCTTAAAATGCATACTCTGATTAACACAATGGGGCCTAAGATAACTTTTTCTTTTTCTTTCTTTCTTTCTTTCTTTTTTTTTTTTTTTTTTTTTTTTTTTTTGGTCTTTTTCATTTTTATCGGTACCAGGGATCGAACTCACGACTGCCTGCTTGCAAGGCAAGGATAACTTTTTCTAACAGGCTCCCAAGTCATTCTAATGATGCTGATCCACAACCAACAGTCTGAGTAACAGAACTCTAGGAAAGATGTTAAGGATCTAAACAAATGTGCAAAGAGCATGGTTGGAGATAACAGACAGTAATATTCAGGATGTAAAAGGGTCATGGATTTGGTGACTCGATAAACACTGAAATTAAAGAAGGTGGTATTGGGGACTGGGGAATGGTAATTGGATGTCCTTCCAAAGCCTCATGAATGCATAGGTGAGGATTTGGGGAAATGATTGAATCTTGGAAGTATGATACTCATCAATTGATTAACCCACTGATGAGTTTATAACTAAACATTGGGTTGGGTGCTAAAGCCTGGTCAGAGGAGGTGGAACACTCATGCACGGAGTGGAATGGAAGAGTTTAATCTGTCTTCCTACTCCCTTGATCTTTCTCCTCTTCTTTTCTGCCATGACATGAACAACCTTTCTCTGCCATGCTGCTCTACATTGAAGCTAGCCGATTATGGACAGAAACCTCTGCAAACTCTGAGCCAAAATAAACTTTTCCTTCTTTAACTGTGTCAGATGTTGTGTCTCAGAGATGAGAAAGTATAACAGGAAATTTACAATCAACTATGGTTTTCTAACTTTGGATAAGTCCACTTGAAATGGCTTTGAGATATCCAAGTAAATCACTAACTGCCATTTAGATATCTGAGTCAGAAGTCTGACAGAAAGGTGATAAACATACAGATGACAGACAAAAACAATAATAGACTGAAATATGTTTTTAAAGTCAAGAATAGAATAATGAAAGTACTTATATCAAGGTAACTAACAAAACAAGAGTCTATATAAAAAACAGATAAATAGCCAGGAACATAGGAGAATAGAGTTTCAAGATGTTGGAAATAATGAACATTATTACATGAAGCAGGAACGTCTAGTAAGAAAGAAACTGAAAAAATAGCAGTGAATTGAGGAAAAGAAGTGGATTCAAGAGAGAATATGAAATGGGGATAAAATACACTAATAATGAGAATGGGGAAAAATGGAGAAAAATATGGTTAGAAGAGCAAGTGGATGGATCACTACAGTCAGGATCAGTGTGAAAATTGTGCCTAATTTCTTGCCACTCTTTCTTAGTTTTGGGCCCTTTCATCATCCTTTCTCTTTCCCACTTGTATAAATCAAAATCATCAAAACCTGTGGAGATTATATACTGATGCCTCACTCTTTTAGTTACCAAAATATGTACACAAACATATATGGCTATAACTTCTTCCAGTAAAGTGTTATTAACCTGCAAACATGATTAAGCACTTGCTTCTTCATGGAAAAAATTATATGTTCCAATTTTTATTCCCAAGAATGTTATCATCAAAAGATATTTAAAGCATATTTAGTGAATGAGTAATGTCACAACATGATACTTTTTAAAATATTTCATTATTTATCTAAGACTATATTCAATTATATGAGTAACAGTGTTTAATTTTCAATAAGGGTCATGTGAACCATTCTGGATCTCATTTTATAGAAAACAACAAACTAGATGGACTTGAAAGGTCTTACTTATCTAAAATTCTGTGATTCCATGAATACTACCTCTCAATCAATAAGAATAAAATATAAATAAGATAGTATATTTTATAAAATACAAACTTGCAATTAAGGAGTTTTGTGATAATCTTCTGGTTTACCATATGCATTTGATTTTAGTGGAAGACACTTCTCCTTGTCTAAAACCCTCTTCCTAGCCACATTTCTTTTGTGGTTTTGCCCAACATAGTGTCAGTGGACCATTACTGGACTATTACAGGAAGCAGGAAAGAGTTTGCAATATGTGCTTTGATTATTGAAATGCAGAGCATTGCCAGAAGAGGAAGGAATAATTCCACCTGGAGCAAGCTTAAGAGCAAGAAGCTTCGGAAGAGTTGCATCTGTACAAGTAGGAAGAGCACACCAGTTGAAATAGTTACTATGACAAATGATTAACGTGTTAAGATATTAGAGATACACTCATTTTAAAGTAGTAGAGAAATTTGGAGTTCTACGAAAATCTCATTCTCTTTGGATTTTTTCAACACAGGGATGTTAGACAATGGTACTCAAGTAAAAAAAGAATTATTTTTTGTTGAGAGTGGACATTTCAATATTAGTCTGTCACCAAGTTTCTCCAATAAAGACAAGGCAGGCAAGGCATATTCTGCATCAGGAACAACTAACTATATTCATTTGAGGAATCAATAAAGGCATGAAAGCCATCTAAGGGTGATTCTTTGCAATTAGTGAGGGCAAAACATATGATAGCAACTTGTAACTTGGTTTCATTGAGTGAAACAATAAAATATTTATTCTATCTATATTTGTCAACATTTGAATCAGAATAAAATCTATGGAATTAAGACTATAAAACTATAAAAGTTTTCACAGTCACAGTTATTTTTCTTCTTACAATAAAGTCAATAAGTTTAGGAGACTGAAGATAAGGCTTTTAAATAATACATTCTCTTGCAGGACACAGTAGTTCTGTCCCTCTTTTTAATTTACAGGAAGAAAAACAAACATAAAACAATTACACTAGAATAAATTTAAAAAATGATTTCTGGTTTTACTTATTAAGAAAACAGTAAGTTTTTATAATATTTTCTGTGGCTTTGATTTTTCTGTGTGATGACTATATATGACTGAAAAACTAATCTTAGTGGGTTTTCCACGCCAGGTATGACATAGTACTACAGCATCAAAGCAACTATGAATGTAGTAAACTATGTATTACAGAATATTCATCATTATTGTTTAGTTTGCATACAAATTTTTTAAAATATTTGGCCTTTTCAATGTGCAATCTGGCATCTCAGGCAATTTTGTGTCAGAGTTTTCATTATTTACTGGTAGGCCAATATCACTGTAAAAAGAAAAGAGGTAATGATTTATAATTCTTCCTAGTATCTTTTGGGTTTAATATAATACAAATACATAGGAACTACTGATTTACAATGCTAATGGTACTTTTTCTTTATGTTTACAGGAAAAAATAAATGGACTATCATGGTAAGAGATTCAGTTACTTCTTTTTATTTTGCATACAGCTAAAGTCAGGAAAGGCTGTATCTATAGCTATATTATGGTAAAGATATTGATCTGAACACATATTTAAGATAATGTTTTGCAAAGTTCTATAATAAAATAAAATGCCATGGGGAAAAAATTCAGATCTAAGATTTTATAATTTTAATATAAAGTGACTTAAACTCTAGGTCATTGTTATAGATACTCATATAGCAAACCACTTGATTTTATTTGGATTTAGTAAACTAAAGGAAACCATCATAAAATTTCTTAAAATTAATTTGGTCATTATAATTACCATAGATAAGAACATAGTGATTAATAGAGCAAAAAATAATAATAAAATTACTTCAACTGAAATGACAGTCTCTCCGATAAAAAAACAGAGGGCAGATTTGGAGCTAGACCCTGAAAATAAAGAGGTAAAGGCACCTTACCTGTCTTTGGCTGAAATGGCCTTGGAGACACTTGATAATATTTCTTTGATAATTGCTTTAGCTTTTTAGCATGAACCTTCCCCACATAGTGAGAATGAGCAACAACTGGAGAATTAAAAGTCATGTTGCAGAGGTCACAAAATTTGTTTCTGTTCCGTATTCCTCTCCTATATGCCTGAAGTAAGCACAATTTGGTTAGAAAAATTCAACAACTCAAAATTCAGAAATATAACATTTATACAAACTACAAACCTTCAAATTCCTAACATGCATCTTCCTTTTATTTGGTACTTCCTTTTGTTCTCTATTCATTTGAAAATAAAATCTAACATTTTGAGCATGTTTTTTACTCTGAAAAAGAAAGATAAAACATGACTTTGTTTATTCAGCAACAGTCATTCAAAATTAACATCTCTCTGAATGTAAGTGTAACAGAAAGCAATTCCTCCTCCAGCCAGTATATTTCTGTTTGTTAGCTGTCCAGGTAATAGTTCCGTTTACAGTTCTTGTCACTGTTATTCCTTAGAAGTGGCTGGTCACTGTGATATATAGCTGGTCACTATGATGCACAGCATAAGAACCAATCTCCAACTGACAAGCCATTCTGCCTCAATACTTCCTGTTTGCTTATCCCATAAGTCCTAGACTACCAGAGATCAGGGCCTGATATTATGGAAATGACCCCAATCAGTGCCCATCAATGTAAAATAAATCTGCCTCCAAATCCTGAATGTTGCTTCAGTGTTTTTTCTGGCCGTTGCACCTGATATATTCACTGGAAAGACCAACTATGCTGACCTCTTTGGTCACTGGTTATGGATCCTGCAGCAGGAGCAAGGGCCTCTCAAAGTCCTGATGGGACTTTGAGATTTCTTGAGTCCCATCGAAGGTTGGGAGGAGGATTCCTAGCTCCCCACTTGAGTAGCTCACATTGGAAACCATAGGAAGGAGGATGCAGATTGTCTGTCTGCCTGCCTTCCTGACTCCAGTAAGATCCCTGGTAGCTGTCTGTAGTCCTCTTAGCCTTGAACAGATGGGTAGCCTCATCAACTCTCATTAGTCAGGCCCACCCTCAAGGGAAGGGAATTTGAATGTTTCAACCTCTGAATGACAGCTGAATGAATGTGTGAGTGGGAGGAGCAGACAGCATAAACAACAAGCTGCTCCATCATTGCATCAGGACTGGGAAGTACTTGTCTTGGTAGCTGACTGAACCATCACCTGGGGTTTTGTGACTGACACATGGCATACTGAAGGCCTCACAACTTCCTTAGCTAAATTGTGTCTCAGTCCAGGTGAGAGGTGTGGCCAGGCATGCATCTGAATGGTCTCTATCTGAGGGGTACCAATCCTTTGTCTGTTGTGCTTTCTTTCAGTGGTACACAACACACTTAGGGGAACAGAGATGAGGATTAATTAGTCAAACTGCAAAGTCCTTGACTGCATGAAAAAGGGCTTTTACGGAGTTAAAAATGAAACCAAATTGCTCCCTGAAGTTTAAAGAAAAATAAACGGTAACAAGAAGCCCATTTTTCCTGAGAATTCCACCTGAACACTCTTACTGGATGCTGCAGTTGCTGCCAACACCAGTAGCTTCACTCTCCATTTTCAACTCATCTACTTTCAGCCAGTTGAACTAGTGAAAGCTAGCCACTACCTTGATTCAGCCATAAAACCCTCCCCTGGAGCCTTTTGCTTCATGGCTATGCCTATCCTGATCAGATAGCATCATCTAACGTTCACCCAAAATGATTAAGCAATTCTTTCTGAGTTTTGACTGGGGAAAAACTGGACTGTCAGCCCTGATGAACGAGCTTCCATGGCCTTTCTTAAGCTGTTATTTCCTAGAAACAACCTAGTTGGACACCTCTCAAAAGCATCAAATAGGGGGCAAAAAGCCTATTAACCACTGCTACCCACAAACCTGACAAAAGAAAAGCACCAAATATTTGTAAGAAAATACTCTCTGACAGACAGCTATACTCTCTGGCTATGAATCATATAGGTTATGGACATAAAAAATAAATGCTGCTTCCATGTGAGACACAAAAAAAACTGATTTTCCAGGTCCACCTCCACCTGAATCTCTCCTTGCCCTGAAAGACCTACATGGAGAGGACAGACTGAGCTATTATCAAACAGGACTCCCAGAGTCTATGGTCATTGCAAAAGTCAGGGACAAACCTGTGACTTTTCTGGTGGACAATGACACAGAACTCAGTCAAAAAGTACCATCACTAGGGCAAATGGGACTCTTGCCTTTTGCTGCTTCTTCCAGGCACAAACTTGCAGCCTGGGAGGACATCTCACCAAACACAAATTCCTGTATAAGCTGGTTCCCATACTGCTTTGGGGAAGAGCCCTCCTCTTCAAGTTAGAAGTGATTGTCCTTGCACCAAACCAGTCAACCTCCTCTCATTGAAGCCCTGCACTTTCAACTTTGACTATTTCCTGAGAGAAAGATGATACCCACATCAGCCTGAGATAGATAACTGCAATCCTGAAGCTCTAAAAACTCTCCTCCTGGAGGTATGGACTAGAGAGTCATCTCTAGGCCTGGCCGTCAACCATGACACTTCACCGCTATCCCCTTTGCTGTCAAATGTCATGAGAAGCACAAACAGGCATCCAACTACACATTAGCATGATAGACTGTTAATCACTTTGGGCAAGATCTCCATGCCTTCAATAATTCAGCTGTCACTTTGTATTCTGCACTTTCCAACCTATAAACCCTTTCTGGATTGTTACTCAGGTGCATAAGGGTTTGAGAACTCTCCCATTATTTGTGGGGAGGCTCCAAAGAAACATTTGGCCAAGCTGCCAGCACCTTTTCTTAAGACAGCCTGTTTCTCTGTCCCTTCCAGCTCTGTCATAGTCCCTTGAGAAAGAAAACAAATGAAGTTTCAAAACTACAAAATATTTATAGACTGTCAAATTGCTACAATACACCTCTCCTGCCTGTAAAGTTGAAGATCTCTTAGCTGCTAATGCTGCCACAGTTGCCCTCCATATATGCTTCCTCAGTCTTATGCCCCCCCCCACAGCCTAATGATACACCGGACTGGACCTAAAGAATGCCTTCTGGGTTTAATTGGCTCTTGTTAGCCAACCGCTGTTCAAAAAGATCCCAGTTTTGGACTAAAAAGTCAACTGATCTGGACTCAATCTCCCAGAGGTTCAAAAACATGTTTATTCTCTATGGAGAAACAGACTTTCAGCTTCTGGAAGCACTCAGTGGTTTAACTGCACAAATACTTGGTCTAGTCACTAAAGGCTGCCTCCTCCTTTGCCTTTGCACTCTAGTAGCCACTGTACTTCTGATTTAAAAAAAGCTGACAAGCTATCCTTAGGTCAAGTCCTAACAGTCCAAGTGCCACATGCTGTACTGAACTTCCTGAATTGTCTGACACTGACTGATAAACTGTTCTTGAGCTGACTAAACTTAAAAAATGAACACCTGACAGTTTCTGAGCACAACCTGTTTACAGATGAAAGTATCTCTGTTAAGAATGAGGTACCTGGGGCTGGAGATTTAGCTCAGCGGCATAAGTGCCTGCCTTGCAAGCAGGCAGTCGTGAGTTCGATCCCCGGTACCGATAAAAATGAAAAATACAAAAAAAAAAAAAAAAAAAAAAAAAAGAATGAGGTACCTATAGGCACTCCTGCACACACATATAACGCAGGAAACCTCTACAAGTTTTAGAATCCTAGCCTTAGATCCACTGGAGAACTTGTCTGGACCACTCAGAACACTCTGAAGAGATGATGCACTCAAATCCCTGCTCTGGTCACTCTGGATGCTGACTTGTCCATGCATTGCAGAAACCTGAGAAAATTATTCACAGGATTGCTCCATATGTATTTCCCTTGAATTTTGTGTCTTTTCAGGCTGCTCATTCCAGTCCTTGCTTCTCAACCTCCTGATAATTGTGATTTCTATGGACAGTTACCCCAAGAGAATAGAACAATCAATCAAACACTTGATCAAGATTTGATGAATCAAGGCACATCAGACACTCTTCAATATGTCTAACAGGCTAGATGCTGTGGTCACCTTGGACAAAGTTATTTTGGCCAAAGCTATCCTGCTACTACTTCCTGATGTTGTTGGGAAAACTTCTAACAATGATGCCAAACCTACGACCGAAATAACCCGGTCCAGAGGCCTAAACCTTCTCCAGATATCCAACTGACTGAAACATTAACCCCAGCCACAAGACCTTCCCCCACCATATATGCTACAAATTCAAGCTGGGATTGATGTTTGTTAGTTGCCTGTGTAGTAGTTCTAGTTCCAGTTACTGTTACTTTTATCTCTTAAAAACAGCTGATCACTAAGATGTATAGCTGGTCACTATGATGCAATTGTAAGAACCAACCCCTAACTGACAAGCCATTCTGCCTTTGTATTTCCTGGCAGCTTATCCCATATAAACCTAGACCACAAGAAATCAGGGCTTGATAGCTTGGAATTGATCTCAATCAGTGCCCACTGATGTAAAATAAATCTGCTGCCAAATGCTGTGTGTCATGTTGGTGTTTCGTTTTGCCACTGAAGGATAGTAGTTGTGATTTTTTATTGTATTTTGTCCATATTATATTTATGAAAGAGCTTCCCATGCTTTTTAAATCTAAATCTCACTTAAAATAATGCTGCAATCTAGAAATCAGTAATTTTTAAATTATTGTTTTTATAGAAACTTCCAGTTGTCACCCCATATTAAATGTTTATTTTTCATTAATGACAAGTCTTGGGAAATGTATCCAGCTAAAACATTACGTTTTCTGGCCTCTTTCACCAAGATGTAGTTATGTAATTAGATTATGGCCAATAAGATATACTCTGGGGAAATTTTCTTAAAAGACTAGGGGATAAGCCTTTGTACTATCCTTCTTGCTTTCTGCTTCTGAAATTAAGACACAAAGAATGGAGTACATCTTGGGCCATGGGTAACTTTTAGGGCAAAAGGCAGTTCATTAGAGCAGAAAGACAGAAAATATTTTGGATTCTCATGATTTTACAGAGCTGTAATATCAGTCTAATTCTCAAATTATTTTTTGTAAGGGAATAAACTTTCCTGGCTTCAAGTCATTATTAGGAAAAATTTATAGCTAAATGCATAGGAATATCCAGGGTGTTTTGTGTATATAGAAGAGAAACTAACATTTCCTGAACACATTGAGGTAACCATCATTTCTTTATGGGTATTTTTGAAACAGGGTCTTGATCTGTAGCATGGGTTGTCCTTGACTCTTACGTAGCCCAGGCTTACTTTGAACTCATGGTGATCCAGCCGGCTCAGCCTCCCAAGTGCTGAGATTGCAAGTGTGCATCATTATGCCAGGCT